GAAGCGAGCCATCCTGAACGGCAAGCTTCCCAGTACCAAGTGTCGAACTCACTCCCCGCAGCAGGTCAGCGGCACCACCCCGGGGGGAATTTATCACACGCCTCTAGCTTGGGCAAATGCCCATGGAGTAGCAGGCCCCTATTATTGCGTGTATCGGATACACGGAGTAATCACCCGTTATTGCTCCGTGTGCCGAATACATCGAGTTATAAACACGGAGTAATCGGCCCCCTATTTCTCCGTGTATCCGATACACGGACGAATAGGCCGCCGTTACTCTGTGTATCCGATACACGGACCAACAGGCCGCTATACATTCGTACATCCGATACAAGGGAGTAAGGTGCCCCTGTCATCCCGTGTATCGGGTACACGGAGTAATTCACCGATGTCGCGCCGTGTATCCGATATGCGGAGTAATCCGTATGCACGGAGTAATTGGCCGTCACTATTCCGCATGCAAGGAGCATTCGGTCGCGATTGTTCCGTGTATCCGATACACGGACTAACAGGCCGCTATTATTTCGTGCATCCGATACACGGAGTAAAGTGCCCCTCTTATTCCGTGTATTGGATACACGGAGTAAGAAACCGTTGTCGCGCCGTGCATGCGATACACGGAGTAATCGACAAGCAGTAACAGGCCCTTGTTATTCCGTATGCACGAAGCAATTAGCCGCTATTATTCCGCGCGCGCGGGGTAATAGGCCGCGATTGTCTCGTATATCCGATGCACGGAGTAATAGCAGCGTCTTACCCCGTGTACGGGATACACGGAGGACGCGGAGTATCATACCCTTATTACTCCGTCGCTCTCTCTCTCTCTCTCTCTTTTCTCTCTCTCTCTCTCTATATATATATATATATTTATATATATATATAGATCCATTCAAATAAATCCGTTGGAACCTTGGCGGGTTTGCGTGGGCCCCCGGTTCCCCGAGCTCCCCGGGGGCCCGAGGGGGCACCCGAAGGCCCCCCGAGAGCCCCCAATCGGCGCCAGAACATTCCTGAAGAGCCCCCACGCGGCCCGTGGGGGTCCCCAGACTGTGCACGACGGCCCTCGGGCGGCCCAGGCTGCCCCCCTGACGGCCACAAGGGCTCCAAGAGGGCCCCAGGGGACCCCAGAGAGGGCTCCAGGGGACCCCCGAGAGAGCCACATCCGGCAAATCGCTACATTCCCGAGGAAAATTGACGTTATCAGCAAACTCGCCTTTGGGGTCGTCCCCGCGTACACGGCAGCTCCGGAGGCCTCCGAAACCGCCCCACGACCGCCCAAGAAACTCCCAAGAAGGCCCCCAGATGGCTAATGACGGCCCCGGGACGGTCCACGAGGCTCCCAAGATGGCCCAAGAGGACCTTAGGAGGGGCCCCAGAGGGACCCAAAACGACCCCAAGACAGCCCGACCAGCGTCTTACGCCCCAGGAGCCCCCCCAAGAGTTCCAAAAGGGTTTCCTACAGGGCCCCAAACGACCTCCAACAGGCTACACATATGCCTCCTACAGGTGGAGGCGGATGACAGACCAGAGGCCCCCACCCATTCCCAGCGAGGCCTTCCCCTTTTCCTCGCTTCCCCACGCTTCTGCCCGCTCCTCCCGTTCATCTCGTTTCTCCCTGCTCTTGCTGCTGATTCTCCTTCATCCGCCTCCTCGATTGCTCCGCTACAACGACCCACGACGACGATGACGACAACGATGGCGACGACGACGACAACGAACACGACATGGAGGAGGAGGACGACGACGACGACGACCACGACAACGCCGACGCCGACGCCGACGACGACGACGACGACGCCGACGACGCCGACGACGACGACGACGACGACGACGACGACGCGCGCCGCCCCATCGCCGCCCCGATCGCCGCGCGTGCAGAGGGCAAGGGGTGCTGTTGCCGGCCGCCCGCGGCAGGGAAACGCCATTCGAACAATCATCGCGACATCTACGGCGGTCGCTGACTGGGTCGCACGCCCCAGAACGCACAGCCAAAGTTCTATCCCCTCAACTCCGTGGAATCCACGGGTCCACACTAGTGTATGTGTATATATATATATAGGTGTATATATATATATGCACCTATATATATGTGTGTGTATATATATATATATATATATATATATGCACATAGATCCCATGGGACGAGGCCCCCTGGCCGCGCCCAGGGAACTACCCAGGCCATGGGGGGGACGGGCTCTCTGGGGACGCCCCCGACGGCCCAAGACAACCTCAAAGCATAACACGAGGGTTCCCAGAGGCCCCGAAATGCTCCAAGAGGGCCGAGAATTGCCAAAGTCCCGCTCCAAGACAATCCCAGATAGCTTCCGGACGGCTCAAAGAATTTCCAACACGCCCCAAGAAGCCACCAAGAGGCCTCCCAAGAGGGCCCCAAGAGGCAACATCCCATGATTTTCCGAAGGATTTTGCTTGATTCTAGCGTGTCTGTATTTTCAGCTTCCGGACGCCCCAACACGGTCCTATATGCCACGAGTATCGCCATGGCACGGCCTCAGAGGCCCCCAGGCGGGCGACGAGAAAGCCGACAAAGGCGTTCCACGGGTGTCCCGGGCTTCGGGGACGCCCCCAAACGGCCCAATACAGTCCCCCAAACAGAACCCCAGGGATCCCAGAGGTTCTAAAACGTTCCAAGGAGGCCGAGAATCGCCGAAATCTCGCTCCAAGACGCCCACGATGGTTTCCGGACGGCCCCAGCCAGGAACTTTCAACACCCCCAAGAAGCGTCCAAGAGGCTTCCCAAGAGGGCCCCAAGAGGCAAACATCAATGTTTTTTTTGGTGTTTGCTTGAGTCTAGCCTTATTGTATTTTCAACTTCCAGACGCCCCAACACGGTTCTAGACGCCCGAAGTATCGCTCCAGCACGGCCTCAGAGGTCCCTAAGCGGGGGCCAAGACAGCCGACGAAAGCGCTCTATGGGGACCCCGGACTTCCAGGGACGCCCCCAGACGGCCCAAGACACGTTGCACGCCGCGGGACCGCCTGCGCGCCTGGGATCGCAGGTTTTCGCGCCGAGAGCCCGCCACAGACAGGGCTGCAGCGCTACGGGAAGCCGTCTGCACACCCTCGCCGTTTAGACGCCGAGGGCGAGCTGAATGGGCGGCGCGTTGCGTGCCGAGAAGATGCCCGAACGCGCGATGTTGCAGTTTTGCGCGTCGGGGGCCGCCTGCGCGGCCCGTTGCGCTGGGTGACCGCCCCGGCGCGGGTTGTGCGTGCCCAGAGGCCGCCTGCGCGGCCGGGCTGCAGCGAGCCGGGAGGCCGCGTGCACGTTTCTGCACGGCCGGGGCTGCGCGTGATGCTCCAGAAGGCCGCCCGAACGCCCAGGTTCGCGGTTTGCGTGTCCGGAGGCCGCCTGCGCTGCTAGCGTGGGATGTGCGGAAGCCCTGGCGGCTGGCACATGGCGCGCCGCCTAAAACTGGCGCTCTTCGTCATCACCATTCATTGCGGCACATTGACACGATCGCGCGGCGCGGCCAGCGGTCTGGTCCATAGCTCCTGGACAAGGAGTAGTGTTTGGCCCAAGTCGAGCCTGCAAGGCTGCGGCTCCTAAGGAGAGGGCGCATGCCTGGACGAGGCGCGCCCCAGGGTGGCGCGCTGCCCTTGGCTGGAGCGCAGGCCTTCGCCTCGGCGAGACAGGCGCTGACGCCGCATGCGGCGCCACTGACGCAACAGGTCGACGTCTTTTTGCTGGGCACCAGTCTGGAGGCGCCCGCCTAACTCGCCAGTTGTGGCGAATTCGCCCGAATGGGTCTGCTCGCAGACTCAAAGGGCCAGTCGGGTTCGCAAGGCGCGCGCCGCCACTCGCAAACCCAGATCGGCAGTCTGGACGCAATTTTGCGCCCGGGTGCCCACTGTTGCTTTCTGGGCGCGGCTCTGCGCCCCCCTGCCGCCGCGGAAGATCGCGCCTCCGCGCTCGCGCAGGCCCGAGCTCATCTGGCGGCGCAGCTGCGCCCGCGCGGGCCGCTCGCAGGCTCGACCAAGCAATCTGAGCGCTAGTTCGCGTCCGCGCGCCCACTCGCGCATGGGCCCGATTCCGCGCTCGCGCGGCCGGCTGCAGAGAGGTACCCGCTGGCTTCTGGGCGCGCCTCTGACGCGCGCCCACGCGGCCATTCGGGGCGCGAGGTCGCATTGGCGCGCCCGCGCCCGAACAGGCCGCTCGCGGGCCCATCGCGCAGTCTGGGCGCGAGCAGCAGAAGACCCTTGTCTGCCGCAAGGGCGGCTGCGAGCGCCAGAGTCGCATTCGGCGCGCAGCCCCGCGCGCGGTGGCGCAGGGCGCGCAGGGATGCGATCAGCGCGCAGAAGATCCGACGCAGGCGCGCCCAAAGTCGCATTCGGAGCGCGATCTCGCACTTCCGGGCGCGGGCGCGCCGCGGGTTACAATGTAGTTTCGAATGTCCTTTGGGGCGCGATTTCGCGCTCTCGGCGCAGGCGCGCCCAGGCGCGCCGAGAGATCACATGGGGAGCGATTCCGCAGTTAAAATAACGCGTGTGGTTCTGGGCATGCGCCCTCGGCGCAAAAGCGGCGCCTCCGGTCGGGCCGCGTTTTCGGGCGCAGGTGTTCGACCGGGGCGCAGAGCGCAAAAAGCGCGCAGAGATGCGCGGGAACGCGCAGGCTGTCACAGGCCTGCAGACGCGCACGCACATGCGCGCAGAACGCACAGCAGCGCGCCGAGCGCAAAGGCACGCGGAAGCGCGCGCAGGCCGGCGCGAGCGCGCAAGGGCGCGCAGAAGCACCCAGGCGCGCAGTGGCGAGCGAGCACATGCTGGCGCGCAGAACCGCGCGCGGGCACTCGGCGCGGCCAAGCGCGTGAAGTGCGCGAGCGCGCGGGCCGACGGACGCAGGGCGACGCGCGCAACTGTGAAGAGGCGTGCACAAGCCCGCCGGCCTTCCTGGCCGCGCTGCGCAGAGAAGAGCTGGCGCTTAACCCAGGCAGACCACACGGGGGCGCCCCAAAACATGAAAGCGCGCACTGCAGAGTTCGATGTGTTTCCTGAGTTGCGCACGCGCAGTTCAAGCATCTCCCAGGCAACGCCTAGTCTGTGCATTGGGCCGGTGTGTCTCAGACTCGGGTGTGCTTCGGCAGCTGCTTGGCTGGGCCTCGGGCGCAATGGGCCTGGTGTGTTTGCCCGGGAGCCCAGCCCAGCAGCAGGTTTCACATATCTGCCCAAAGCTCCTGCGAGGGCAGCCTGCAGGATATTTTCATGGTGCAGGAAAATCCCCCAAGTGGCCGGTGCCAAATGGGTGCCTCTTCGCCTCCTGGTTTTTTAGCCTTTGTGGCAACCTTTAAGCTGTGCGCCATCGAGCGCCGTGGGATTCAAGGGCAACTCGTTGCCTGGGTGCCTCCAGCGGGGGGGGTGCGGCTCGCGCGCCAGAGGAACCCCGGCCGCTCGCCTCTGCCTGCCCCTTTCTGGCCGGTTGGTTGATGGCTGGGTGAAAGGCGGAGGGTGCTTCTTTGCTGTGCGTCGCAACGCAGGGCGACGGGCCCCGCAATGAGCTCCTGCGGAACTGGAAAGGCTCGCTGCAGCGAGGCCAACGTCGGCGCGGGCAGAGCTCCCCCGCAGGACGAAAGAGACTCCAAGCGCGGCGCCCTCCCACAGGACAAAGGTCTGGCGGCGCCGCAACCCACCCTCTGCCACCCTATCATCGCCCTGGCAAGGCCTCGGCGGCCCCCAAGCGGGCGCCGAGACAGCCGACAAAGGCGCTCCATGGAGATCCTGGGCCTCCGGGGGCGCCCCCAGACGGCCCAAGACAGCCCCACAACCAGGACGCCAGGACCCCAAGGGGCCCCCAAACGCCTCCTGAGGGCAGAGAACCGTCGAAATCCCGCTCCAAGACGCCCACGGTGGCTTCGAGACGGCCCAAGACGCCTCCAAGACGCCCCAACAGAGGCCCCCAAGAAGCCTCCCAAGAGGACCCCAGAGGCGAAATTAATACATTGTCTTACGGCTTGGGATGGATTTCGGCGTTTCTGCATTTTCAGCTTCACGACGCTCCAACACGGTCTTAGACGCCCCAAGTATCGCCGCAGCACGGCCTCAGAAGCGCCGAAGCGGCTGAAAAAGGCAGGCGTTCCGGGCCTCCGGGGACGCCCCAAGACGGCCCAAGATAGCAACCAAAACAGGACACCAGGGTCCCAAGAGGCCCCGGAAAGGCTTCAAGAGGGCCGAGAATCGCGGACATCCCGCTCCAAGACGCCCACGATGTTTTCTGGACGGCCCACGGGGCCTCCAACACGCCCCAAGAAGCTCCAAGAGGCCCCAGGAGGGAACGTGAATTGATTATCCTGAGGTTTTTGTTGGATTTCAGCGTTTCTCCATTGTCGGCTTCGCGACGCTCCAACATGGTCCTGGACGCCCCCAGTATCGCCCCAGCAGGGCCTCAGAGGCCCCGTAGCAGCCGCCGAGACGGCCGAAAACGGCCCTCAATGGGCGTCCCTGGCTTCGGGGACGCCCCCAGACGGCCCAAGTCAGCCCCCAAAACAGAACGCCAGGGGTCCAAGAGGCCCCAAGACGCCTCTTGAGGGGAGAGAGTCGCCGAAATTCCGCTCCCCCAAGCGGGCGCCGAGAAGGCCCAAAAGGTACCCCAGACGGCTCTGGAGGCCTCATGGGCGCTCCTCGAGATCCGCCGCGCCGCGCCGGTGACTTTTCTAGCGGCTGCCGTCGTCGTCTCCGCGTCGTCCAAAGTCGAGTTTGTAATCGGGTACGTTTGCGGTAAAACCTAAGCGAGCGCGAAGCTGCGCGGTTGAGAACAATGCTGACGACGGAAGCAGTGTATGATGACTGCGCGGTCCCGACCGAGCTCGTCAGAGATACAGCGTACTGGGATTCACCGTGGTGGCGGGCAGCCCTGAATCAGCTCTGACTAGAGACTAAGCGCGCGCGAAGTGCGCGCGTGGTTCAAGTGTATGTGTATGTATATATATATACACACCTATACGACCACCCTTCGGGTGATAAGGAGGTTGCGTGAGGGGGGGGATAGGGAGGGAACCAACATCTGACTCAATCGATCTCACTATCGATCTCACTCAACGGGACACCACGGGACACCACGGGACATTTGTCGATCTCACTATCGATCTCATTATCGATCTCATTCAACGGGACACCACGGGACACCGCGGGACACCTCTCGATCTCATCATCGGTCTCACTAACGATCTCACTGTCAATCGCACTCAACGGGACACCACAGGACACCACGGGACACCTCGGGACACCACATCGATCTCACTATCGATCTCACTCAACGGGGCACCACGGGACACCTGTCGATCTCACTATCGATCTCACTCAACGGGACACCACAGGACTCTTAGGGGCACCATATCGATTTCAGTATCGATCTCACTATCGATCTCACTGTCGATCTCACTTAACGGGACACCATAGGACACCACTGGACTTTTGTCGATCTCACTATCGATCTCATTCAACAGGACACCACGGGACACCACGTGCCACCACGGGACACCTTCGGGACACCGCGGGACACCTCTCGATCTCACTAACTATCGGTCCCACTATCGATCTCACTATCGATCTCACTTTTTGGGACACCACGGGACACCTCGGGGCACCGCATCGATTTCACTATCTATCTCACTCAACGGGACACCACGGGACACCACGGGACACCGCGGGACACCGCGAGCCACCGCCAGACGGGCGGGCGGGGGAAAATAATTTGTCTTCATTTCGCCCTAGCAACGGCGGACACCATGGGACACCGCGGGGCACCACGGGCCACCGCCGTACGGGTGGGAGGGGGAGAATCATTTGTCTTGACTTCGCCCTAGCAACGGCGGGTCCATTCCTCTTGCGCGCCCACGCAGCTTCGCCCCGCACGCACGCACGACACGAACGAAACGAAACGATTTCCCAGTTGGGGGTCTCCATTCCACTGCGATCTCACCCCCCAACCTCCGATATGGACATATGTTTTTGTTGGGCGCAGAAAGTGTGCAAGTTGAAAGAATCTGTAAAGGAATTGCCTTCTTGCGGACGCCGCGCCCGGATGAGATTTTCGGAATTGGCCCGCGCTCCAGCCTGGGCGGCGCGGTGGCCAGGTATGAGTAATTGCGCTCGACTGCTCCATATCTCTCCGATGCAAAGAGTAACAGGGGCCTATTACTCTGTGTGTCGGATGCAGTGAGTAAATACATAACGGTTACCGGAGGGTGGGATGAGCAATAATTGTTTTGCAGAAATTGAAAACTCAAACATTTTAATATCATTCGTTCTTTTCCTCTCGCGTGCCATGCGACGAGTATGCACCAAACTTCCGATACCTGCCCTTTCGTTGTCGATCGTACCCCCCTTAGGGGTAGATCTCCCCTGTCTGCCACGTGTATTTGGCGCAGCCCCTAAAGCAGGGAACGAAAGGACGGGTGCATGGGAAGCACAAGGGGGTCTAAGAGCAGAAAAGCACATGGCAGAATCAGACGGGCAGATCGAGCGGGTAGACCCTAACGGGCGGGTCGCGAAGGCGGGCCCAGACGGCCGGGTCTGGCAGCGGTGGCGGCGACGCAACGGAGTGCAAGGTATTCTTGCTTGCGCCGCATGCTCTCGCTCCCCGCGGCGCGAAGTGGACCCATGTTTTCTCGAAGCCCTTGGGGCCCCAGAGTACCAATCCTGGCACGGCAGGCCACAGGGACACGGCAGATTAGCACGACATACCACAGCACCACGGCAGACCAGCATGGCAGACCACAGGAAAACGGCAAACCAGCATGGTTGGTTGACCACACGAGCATGGAAGACCAGCGCGGCAGACCACAACAGCACGGCAGACTTCCGTAGCCATTTTGGCTCAAGAGCCGCGCGGGGGGTGTCCTTTCCCGCACTCTTGAGTGGCCACGGTCTTCCGCTGATGTCGGGCGATGTCAGCGATGTGGATGCGCATCCCGCGGCCTGGGGCGCGTTGGCTGGCGCCGTCGAGCTAGCAGCGCGCGGGGCGGCTGCGGGTGCGGCGGGCTCAACGCGGCATGTAGCGGCGGCTGCGGTGGCGGCCGCCGTCCGCACGGCCGTGGAATCGCTGGCGCCGCTGGTGATGGCCGTCGAGGCCCCTTCGGCGAACATCGAGGAGCTCGCCCTCCGCCTCGCGGCGATGGCTCCAGCTCTGCTGCAGGCCATCCGCGGCCAGCAGGCAGGAGGAGCCGTCCGTGCGGCGCGGAACCTTGGCGCGCACGCCTTGCTGGGCGATGGGGCCGCTGCGCTGGCGTCGGCGCTGGAGCGGCCTACCTGCGCCCAGCGGAACGGGCGCGTTGTGCGTGCTAGGCGTGCGGCGGCGGCAGGGCCATGGCAGCTTAGCCTCCGCCGGTGCGCGGCAGGCCCATCCTCGGCGGCCACCGTGCTCGAGGAGGTCGACAGCGAGATGGACAAGTCTGGCGGCGGCTCTTCAGGAGGGAGCGGCGTGGGCCCAGGGCCTTGGGTTCCCAGCCTCTGGTGCTGCCGCCAGTCGGGCGAGGAGTGGGCCGCCCCCGTGGCAGGCGGCGGCGATGCTGCTGCGGACGCCCCTGGCGCCGCGAGCCCCATGGTGAGGCGCGGCGCCAGGCGCCGCAGGCGTCGCCCCAAGTCCCTGGACGTGGTGAAGACCGTGCGGTTCTTTCTGAAGGACGTGACCGACTCCGACGGCGATGGCGCTCCTGGCCCTGGCGTGCTGGAGGGTAGTGTCGGCGTCGGCCCCGCGGCCCCTGGGGCCGCCTCCGCCCCCGGATGCTGCTGACGCGCCTGCCCAGGGTCTGGGCGGCGGTGAGGTGCCTGGCGAGCGTGCGGATCGCAGCGCCATCGGTGCCCTTGCCTCCGTGGGCCCCTTGCGGTCGCCGCTTGGGGGCGCGCAGCAGGTGGACGCGTCCAACGGCTCGGCGTGCAGCACGATCTGCTCGGACAGCGCTCGCCTCGGCACCCAGATTGTGCAATACTTGGCTCGGAATGATGCGGCCCTCTTGAGCGGGGGCACGCAGGCTCCTCCTGCGCCCACCGCGTCGGAGGGCGATGGCCCCTCGTGCTCGGAGGGCGTGTTCGTTTCGTTCCTGGACGGCTTCTCGGTGGCGGCGGTGGCGTGTGCGGCCAAGGGGCCGAAGTCGGGAGTTGAGTCGCTCCTGGACTTGACCGAGGCCCGCGACCTCGGCGTCCGCCTCGGAGGTGCAGGTTGTCCAGGTGCCGAGGAGCACGGCGAGCAGGGCCTGCCTTTCGTCGAGGAGCCCGAGGTCGAGTCCCAGAAGGGCGCGAAGTCCGTGGAGGCCGACCTGGCGGCGCACGGCGCGAAGGCCTCGCAGGGAGTGGTGGAGTCGACCGTGGGCGCAGTGCGGGCTCAGGCGGAGACCGAAGCGCTCGGCGCCGCCATGCTGGCGAGAGCTGCCCTCCAGCGTGGCGACATCGCCGAGGGCCTTCGGCTGCGGGAGGCGGCACAGGCGAAGCACCTGGAGAGCGTGCCCAGGCGCCCTGGCGAGTGCTCGGAGTGATGTTCCTCCTTCCCCTGATCATGTATAGGTTCTGTTCGTTTGCGCAGTGCTTGCATGATTCTGGTGTTGCGAGTCGAATGGGATATTGTGTAGTCGCCTTTCTTTTCCGTGCTGCACTAGATGTCATCTTGTGTAGTATATGCTCTTGTCAGTGCTGCACTTGATGGTTGTATTGTGTCGTATATACCAGAGGCTTCGCCTTCTGCCTGCGCTGCGCTTGTCTGGGAGGGGGCCCGAGGCGGCCTCATCGGGGGGGGGCGGCCCTTCCGCGGCCCCCTCGGTTTTTGTTTCTTCCGCCTTTAAGGCCTCGCCAACCAACCAACCAACCAGCACGGCAGATTAGCACGGCATGCCGCGACATCATGGCAGACCAGCACGGCATACCACAACAGTATGGCAGACCACAGGAACATGGCAGATTAGCATGGGAGGCCACAGCAGCACGGCTGATGACAACAGCGCAGCAGACCAGAGGAGCACGGCAGACCACAGCAGGACGGCAAACCGTAGGAGCATGGCGGACTACAGGAGCACAGCAGGCCAACACAATGAACCGCCAGCAGTAATGTCAGTCGTCTGCGTTTCGGCCCAGTTCTCTGGACTTCCTCAACTGGGCGTTTTCTGACAAGCTTCGTGGGAAAAAGTGGCGTTTCACGTTCTTGTCCGGCCAGGTTTCTATAAGATTGCCGTTTCATTGGGGGCATTCTCCAACCAATGGTTTCGGAGGGGATTTGAATCAACATCGTCATGGAATCGCTATTGCAGGGGCCCACCGTGTCAACCAAAAAACCCAGACGGCCCCCTGGAGGGGTTCGCATAGGGCCCCAAGAGGACCCCACGAGAGCCCCAAGAGGCCCCCAGACAACCCCAAATGGCGCCCAAACGATTTGAGAGAGCCCGCGCAGAAACCTAAGTCACGCCCAGACAGCCCAAGATCACCCCGCTACCCCTCAAGAAGACCGGAACATGCCCCCAAGAAACACCAGGATGCCCCAATATAGCCCCAGATGACTTCAACAACCCCCAGGGTACCTTCAAAAGATCACGAGGACCCCCCTCCTTTTTCGACGTCGTTGTCGTCGGGCTCTGCACCATCCTCCTTCGTCGTCGTTGTTTTTTCTGCTGCTGCTGCTCCTCCTTTTTTCCTCCAGCTCCTCCTCCTCCTCCTCATCCTCCTCCTCTTCCTTCTCCCCCTCCCCCTCCCTCTCCGTTTCGTTCCTCCTCGTACTCGTCCTCATCCATCTCTTCCTCCTTGTCCTCGTTTTTGCATTTCTCGTTGTCCTCCTGCTCCCCTCGCTACCCTCCCTGTCATCCGCGTTGACATCCTTGACATCCGTCGCCTTGCCGTCGCCAGGATGAGTGGTCTTTTTTCTTCTGACGAACTCAATGGACAACATCGGCGCCTCCCGTTCTTGTCCGATCAGGTTTGCTTTTCGCCGTTATGTTTCTTTGTCCTTCATCTCTCTCTCTCTCTCTATATATTTGTTGTGTTTTCTCTCTCTCTCTCTCTCTCTCTTTCTGTCTCTTTCTCTCATTATTACTAAGGCCTTACGGCCGGTGCCGCCGACCCTGAAGACGACGACGACTACGAGGAGGAGGAGGAGGAGTTGGAGGAGGAGGAGGAGGAGGAGGAGGAGGAGGAGGGGGATTAAGGTGGAAGGGGACAGGAGAAGGCGACGGAGATGTTCCCCATGTGGGCCGAGGGAGTCGTAGCAGAGACAGACAGGGAGCCGTGTGGCCTGCGGCCCTTCCCGCCACTGTGCTGGGGTTATGGTTGAAAGGCCTCTTGGACGTTTTCGGGCAAGTTAGGGCCTCTTTTGGGCCTCGTGGGGGTTTCTTGGAGGCCTCTTCGGGCCCCTTACGGGGCTCGTGGGGCCTGCCGGGGGCTTCGTGCGGGAAGCTCGGAATGTGATTCTCTTATTGGGCCTGCTTGGGGCCCCTTTGGCGCGTTTCGGCGTTTTTTGGTGCCTCCGGGACGCCCAGGGAAGGATGTTTATCTGACCCCCCCCCTCGGGACCCCCCCCTTCGGCGGGGGAGGGATCAAAGGGAAGACCTTCCCCTCGACTTAAGTACGACGTTGCTACGGTTTTATTTCGCTTTCAGGCTTGAAGAGGAGGGTGCAGGGAGAGGGGACGACGGAGACGCAGGGAAAGAGGACAACGGATGCGTCGACTGAGCGCACGCCGACAGGGGGTCCACACGCCGACAGGGTCGGCGGATATTTGTATGTATGGTTTTACGCATTGTTGTATCTCTCTCCGTCTCGTTCCTTCCCTCCCATCCCCTCCCAATGTGCATTTTAGTGTAAGTATTCGGTTAGACCAACGCGACTGGGGCAGAGAGAAGTCCTCAAACAGACGCAGTCTATCGTGCGGGGCAGCAGCGCCCCCAGAGACGCCTCGGCCCCTGCGCGCCGCCACTGTGCTCAGACTCCCGCGCGCTTGGGCCACAGGGTTCCCCCCCTCGAAGTTCAATCTGAGTTAGTTGCGTACGCAGTTGCATACACAGCGTAGCACAGGCGGGAGAGACGGGTTTGCAGCAAGCTTCCCAAACTCCGCAGCCGTTTTCGGCCTCAGAAGCCCCGTAAGGGGCCGTGCTAGCAGCACGTATTCACTGTACACGCGTTGAGTCCAGGACAAAGTCCTCGTGCCCAACATGGGCCATTGCCGCAGCCCCTCGCCGCCCCTTGCGCTTGGACCCGAGCCATGGGAGAGGCAGCCGCCCGCGGGCGACTGGCTCTGGGCGCGGCCGCCCTTCGCAGCCGCCCTTCGCCCGCGCGGCCCCGGCGCACACGGGAGGCACGCCGCGCAGTTGGCGGCGGCGGCGGCGGCGCAGCCGCCCCGCATCAGGCGGCCGCCTGGGCTCGCGGAGCTGGCGCAGCGTGAGGTTCGGTTCAGGCGGCCGCCTGGGCTCGCGGCGCTGGCGCAGCGTGAGGTTCGGTTGCACGGGGGAGGATGATGATGAGGAGGAGGAGGAGGAGGAGGAGGAGGAGGAGGAGGATAACAGGAGGAGAACAGGAGGAGGAGGAGGAGGAGGCGAAGGAGGAGGAGGCGGGGGAGGAAGAGGACGAGGAGGAGGAGGAGGAGGAGAGGAGGAGGAGGAAGGAGGGAGGAGGAGGAGGAGGAGGCGGATGAGCAGGAGGAGGAGAAGGACGAGGCGGGGAGGAAGAGGACGAGGGGGATGATGATGATGATGATGAGGAGGAGGCGGAGGAGGAGGAGGCGGGGAGGAGGAGGAGGAGGGGGAGGAGGAGGAGGAGAAAGGAGGAGGAGGAGGAGGAGGAGGAGGAGGAGGAAGAGGAGGAGGAGGAGGAGGAGGAGGAGGAGGAGCAGGCGGGGGAGGAGGAGGAGGAGGAGGAGGAGGAAGAGGAGGAGGAGCACGAGGAGGAGAAGGAGGAGGAGGAGAAGAAGGAAGAGGAGGAGGCGGAGGCGGAGGAGGCGGGAGCGGAGGAGGAGGAGGAGGAGGCGGAGGAGGAGGAGGAGGAGGAGGGGGAGGAAGAGGATGCGGATAAGGATGAACAGGAGGAGGAGGAGGAGTAGGAGGAGGAGCAGAGATCATAGATCGTAGAAGACCCCCATATAGCCCTCACAACACTATGAAGGCATAGCCTCACCGAGGTCCCCGTTTTTGCAGTAGGGATCACAGTTTTTTGGGGCGGTTAGTTTCGATGCATCTGCAGAAAAGACACCCTATCCCAGATGTTTCGGGCCCTTACGCCGAGGGCCGACCCCAAAGGGTTAGGGGCACCTTCATTGTTTATCAAGAGACGCCTGGCCAGAGTTGCCCGTGGTGCTCGGCGTACGGGGGGCGTTCGGGGGACTGGGCCAGACTTTGGCACGCAGGAGCGTCATTGCCGCCGCGCGCGCCGCGCACCATAAGACATCCTTGCCTAGGGTAACTCTTGCGCGCAGCCGAAAGATGGCTGCAAAGGCCGCGCGCGCGCCGCCGGCGGGCGAGCTGCGCGGGCCTCGCCTGGACGCGCTCCTGCAGGGGATGCCGACCCCCCTCCGCCTGGGCCAGCGGGCGGCCGCTCGGGCCGCCGCACAGGCTCTCGAGTCGCCCGCAGACGGCTCCGCCGCCGGCGTGCGCGAGGAGGCCATGCCAGCCGTGGCAGACCCAGGTGTCCAGGCCGCCCAGGATGGGGTCGAAGGGATGGGTCGGTGGATCGCGCCGCATCGCCGATGCGTCGGCGATGCGGCTCGGCGTGGAGCACGATGTTCTCCACGCCGACGTCGCCGATGTTGCCCACGCCGATGTAACGGAGACGCGGCGCGATCCACCGACCCCAGTTGCTTCGGCCCCCTTTGGGCGTTCTCTAATCATTGTGCGCGTTCCACTTCTCGCAATTTTCCTACTCGCAAACGCCCGGAGAAAAGCATGTTCGCCTCGATGCAATGGGCTCGGCGGAGCCAGGCCACTTGCGAGTAGTTAGTCACTTTGGGAGTAGTGGAACGCGCTCGTCTATCCAAGGTGCCGCCGCTGACATACCCCCACCAGTTCGCGACAGTATGGGCAGAGCCGCACCCTCTGACGCGCAGCCTTTTGCCATGTCAGCGGGGCCCGCCCGCCTCGTCGACGCCGGGCAGACCCCAATGGGTGCGCATGCGCCGTGACTTATAACTTATAACTTCTCATTCTGTACATATGCAAATATGTATGTACGCGTGTATGTGTGTATGTATGCACGTGTGCACGGTTGCACGCTTATGTGTGTAGAATGATGTATACATATATGTGTGTGTCTGCGCATGTGTGTACATGTACATGCGTATTAGCTGTTACATGGTTATGGGGATGTATATGTGTATGTGTGTACGTGTGTATGCATGCATGTACGTGTGTATGCATGTTTGCATGCAGACGTGGATGCACGCATTTATATATAGTTGTTTCGATACATGTATGTTTGTGTATGTGTATGTATGCGTGTACGTATATATGTACCATGTATGTACTCATGCATATGAGTCAGTGAGCTTGTAGCTGTGCACGTACGCAATTATGAATTGCAATTTATGTGTGCATGCATGCATGAATGCATGCTTGCATGTGTGTATGTGTGTCGGTGTGTATGTATACGTGCACACATACATTGATATATGTGTGTATGTGTGTGCCTATGTATGGATGTGGTTATGTATGTTTGTATGTATGCATGCATGTGTGCATGCGTGATTGTATGTATGAATGAATGTATGTATGTCTGTATGTGTGTATGTATGTATGCATGTATGTATGTATGTATGTATGTATGTATGTATGGTTGTTTGTATGTATGTATGTATGTATGTATGTATGTATGTATGTACATATGTACGTATGTACGTATGTACGTATGTACGTATGTATGCATGCGTGCATGGAAATGCGTGCATGCGAATGTATACACCGCGGCCACGTTTTCTCAAGCCATCTCTGACCGCATAGGATGCTCACCGAGACTTTCACCTGCCTCGTTTCGGTCGGCAACTTCTGTCTCCTCGCGCATAATTGGTGGAGCCCGCCAGTGCAGCCAGCGCCTCCGTGCGGGTGCACCTGCCACTGTTCGGAAGGCAGCTCCTGGTGGCCGCCCGTCCTCATTGGCATCCTGAGCGTGATATCGCTCATTGGCTGGTGCCCGAGGCTGCTGTGGGGGCCGCCGACCACGAGGGTGCAGGCAATCGACGGGAAGGCGCTGCGCGGGCAGATCACAGCTGGTCCGCCCGTTAACGTTGGCTAGCCATGGAGCTGACGAGGCCACGTGCGGGGCAACGCTTCTGGGTGTTGTTCGACCGCACGGAGGGCCTGTGGCACGAGCGTTTGTGCCTGCACGAGTACGGGACGGGCGTGATCGTCGCCACCCCTGACGGGGACGTCTACGCTGAGGAGTTCACGGACTACGAGGACCTGGCCGTCTCTGGGTCCCAGGGCGGCGTGCCCCGCCGGCTGTACCCGAAGCGGCGCTACCACTTCGACCCAGGGGACCTGGAGGAGGACAGCCAGCTGCGCGTGGATGCCGCTCGTCAGCTGGCCAGGCTGCTTGAGAGCGGCGAGTACCCAGCAGCGCCGATCCCGCTCCCTGATGCGGGGGACGGCGCTGCGCTGGCGACAGGCGGAGGATCTGCTCCGCTGGACGTGGTGGGCGGCACTCCCATGCCGCGTAGCCCTATGCCTAAGGAGCTCGACGATGCACCCCGCGGGACGACCTGGCACCTGCTCACCGACGCGTTCGGTCAGCGGGTGCACGAGCAGGTGACGGTCGGGTTGAACGATCGGTGCGTCACCGACGGACGCTCGGGACTCCTCATTCGCAATGGGGAGACCGTGCCTGCGTCGGCGCAGCTGCCGCCTCGTGCCGGAGACGACGACGTGAGGACGTTGCCGGTACAGTACAACCCGCGCGGGGAGAGGACCCGTTCGTTCCAGAGCGCGCGGGGTGCCTTCACGGAGGAGACCTTCGATGACTTTCCTGTCCGCGGCCCGCGGACGACAGGCTGGCTCATGGAGGCGTTCCACAAGGGTGGCCAGAGCCCGGTGGCGCGCCACCACTGGTGGCGGCAGATGCTGGGGGCAACGACGGCTGACCCTGGGATTGACGACCACCTCTTCCTCTCGGAGCTTTTCGAGCTCGGCGGACAGTACGACCACCTGAATCTGCCGAACAGCGCCGCCTTCGAGGCGATCTCCCGTCGCTATCAGCTGTGGGGGGAGCGCTACGCCGAGAAGCTGAAGCAGGTGACTGAGGGACCCGGAGCTGCCGCTGGAGTGGGGCACCCCTTCCTCGGGGTCACGTCGGGCAGCACAGCCCTGGCCTCGCCCAGCCTGGCCGAGTACGTGGCAGGGAAGATGGAGCAGGAGAGCAAGATCTTGAAGGAGCGCCGCAAGGGTCGCGAGGAGCGCAACCTGGCCGCGCTGGCGTCTTCGGGCTCAGGCAGCGGCGGCGGCGGCGGCGGTGGCTCAGGAGGTGCTGCCGCCTTCGAGGGTCAGGGCAAAAAGAAGGGGCCGCCCAAGAAGCAGAAGGCCGAGGAGGGCTGACTGCACGTGGGCATCATCACCCGGTCGCCTTGCGCGCGACGCCCCACCGCGTGCGAGGCCAGTTGTTTGAGGGGGGCCATCGGCTGTGCCATGGCTTTACAGTCACATCGCGATGTGTTCCCCCTTCCCTGCGCTGGTCCGCCGCCTGGCCTGTGCTCCACGGGCCCTTCTGCGCGGTGGCTGCAGGAAGGGATTCGAGCGCTTAACTCGATCGGGGGTCGTGGCCAGACGACGCCTGCGCAGCCGACGACAATTTTGCAGGCTCACGCCTTGTCTCGACCTGCTAGCATGTATGCCGCGATTCCTGAGCAACCGAGTGATGTGACCGTCCAGAGTGCCGTCAAGAGCACTTTGGGAACCGACCCTGGTTATGGTGACGACCTGACCAGCGGGGGCCATGCACTTTACCAACGAGGCAAGGTCTCCTTGCCTCGCGTTGCCACCAGGGTGACACGTCTCGAGGATGTGCTGCCCGCTTGGGACCGCTCTGTTGGTAGAGGAATCCACTGGGCTTCTGACTAATGCCGCTCATGCTGACAACAGCTTTGCTGGGAAATTGGCCTTCGACCCCAGACTTGCAAAGGGCAAGAAGGCCTACGGTCGTTTTTTGAGTGACCTCCTGTCTCGTCAGATGCTGGAGGTAGGGGAGTCTACGAAGATGGTCACCCCCATTTGTGTAAGAAAGAAAGACGGTGCCTTGCGTCTCATATTTGATACGCGTGATGCTAATACCTCGTTTTCCCCCCCCTCTGTACACCTCTCTTGCTGCCGCTCAGGCGCTCAGCTCCTTGGAAGTCCCATCTGGGACTGGTCTGCATTGTGCGCAGGGAGATGTCACGTGCTGCTTTTATCAGTTTCTGCTACCAGACCGTCTGCGAAGCTGGTTTGGGCTCCCCTCGGTGCACTGGTCCGACCTTCCTGTTCGGGTAAGGCACGTCCTGGGCCCGCCTGATTCCTCGGGGTTGGTCAGGTTCAGGCTCCGTGTTGTACCTATGGGTTGGTCGTGGGCAGTGTACTTCGCCCAGTCTGCTATGAAGAACCTGCTGGCCCCCGCCGTTCCCAGGGATCCCTTCTTGGCCCAACACAGACCCCTGGACCCCCTCACCCAGCAAGGCGCCGTCAGTGCTATTTACGTGGACAACTTTGCGTCTCTCTCGCTCTCGGCCGCTCGCTCGTGCGATGGGCTTGCGAAAATGCTGTCCGCTGTGAAAGTGCCGGTCTCGACGCTGGCGCGGGGCCCGACGGCGCCCCCTTTCTCGGGTGCTGCTTGGGTGGTTCGGGGTCGTCTTGGGTCCTTTCGGGGCGTAAGTTTTGGAGGATCTCCCTGGCTTCGAAGGCGGTCTTCCAGGGTCGGGTTCGTCGGACTGGGCGTCAGATTGCTCGTCTGGTAGGCCATGTCTCTGCGGTGTTTCAGCTTCGTCCTGAGCTGCTCTCAGTCTTCTCAGCAGCTTACACCTTTAGCACGCGTTTTCGGGACCGACCCGCATGGGTCTGGAGCTCGGTCAGGCACGAGTGCTGGCTAGCATGGGCTCTCCCCCCCACGGCTGTTGCTCGGCTGGATATCCCTTGGAGTTCGGAGGTGACCTCTGTGGACGCGTCGCTACACGGGTTCGGTGTCACGGCGCGCCAGTTCGAGTCTACCAGTGTTGGCAAGGTTGGCCGTGTCAGTGAACGTTGTCGATTCCGAGGAGAGCTTCGCAAGTGTGCTAGGCCGCGCGACGTCTTGGAAAACATTGAGGTGCCCTTCTCGTTTTTCGCCCGTGGGTCTGATCACGACTTCTTGGAGACTGGAGCCCAGACGGAGTTCCCCGAAGTTCCCGAGCGGTTTGCCAAGGACTCCCCCTGGTGCGTCATTGCGGCAAGGAGGTGGAGGAGGAAGGAGAAGATCCTGAACCTGGAGGCGGAGGCGGCCCTGTGGGCTGCTCGGCGCATCAGTCGTGACAAGCGTCTAGGGGACCATCGGCACCTCATCCTCAGCGACTCGATGGCCTGGGTTTGTGCAGCCACCAAAGGGAGAGGGAGCCCTTGGATTCTTCTTCGTCGGTGTCGTGAGCTGTGTGCGCTCGCTATTGCCTCTGGATGTCGCTTCGTGTATCGCTGGATTCCTTCCGAGTGGAATAGCGCAGATGCCCCGAGCCGAAGGTACGACCCTGCCAGCGAGCACCATGCTAAGTACTTCTATGTCAGCAACCCTGGTGGCTCGGATCGTCTGGCGAGCCGCGGCGGGCCCGCTCCTCTTTCTGGGGCCGTGGAGGCGGTCATCGGCGATGGAGTTCCGCACCCTCCGGGCCTCCGACGCCTCGCGGCTGCGGTCCCGTTCGCCTACGGCCTGCCGGGGCTCTGGGAGGCTGCGCGCGGCGGCCAGGCTGGACACGACGCAGCTGCCGACGACGTCGGTTGCGACACCTGCTCGAGTGTCTGCCCGCCTCGCGGCCGCTCCCACCGCCAGCCCGCCCGTGGCTCACCGCCACCTGGGGCCAGGGCCGGCGGGGAGCGCCGCGGCGCGCCCTGCGCGCCGGGTGGGCAACGCTCGGAGACAGCAGGTGCGGCGGGGGATGCGCCAGTCGCCCTCGACCCTGATCGGAAGCGCGGGGCGGGCAGCCACTCGGCTGGCGGGGCTCGGCTTCCGAGCGTCGGCACTGGGAGCGGCGTCGGTGACCACAGCGACACAGGACAAGTACCTGACGCACCTGGAGATGCTGCTGAGATGGCTGGTGCTGAGGAGGGCGCCCACGCTCGACAAGGACGAGTGGGATGTGCTCCTGACGAGCTACATCGAGCACCTGTACGACTCGGGGGCGACCGAGAACGCCGGCGGGACGACGCTGGCGGCTGTGCGGTGGGCAGAGCCCGCCATCCCCCGTCCGCTGCGCCGAGGCCTCCCCCTGGCCTCTGCAGCGCTGGCAGGGTGGCGGCGGGCCGAGCCGGGCCGGGCGAGGCCGCCGATGCCGCGGGAGCTGGCCATCGCGATCGCCCTCGACCTGTGCGACTGCGGCTTGCCGAGCCTGGGGTTCTTCGTCATGCTGGTCTTCGAGACGTGCATGCGCCCCAGCGAGGCCCTGGCTCTCCAGCGCTTCCAGCTCGTCCCACTGGCGGGGGACGGGATGCCGGGGACAAAAGGGCGTTGGGCCGTGCTCATCCGTGCCCTCGAGCTCGGCAGGCCTGGCAAGACAGACGACTTCGACGGCAGCGTGAGTCTCGATCTGCCACGACACCAGCTGCTGGTGCCAGGGCTGGAGGAGATCTTCAGCCGTCGCGGGGAGCGCGACCCAGTGTTTCTCTTCGACTACGTGACGCTGCTCAGGCACTGGCGGACAACGTGCAGACGGCTCGGGATCGAGCACCTACATCTCACGCCTTACTGTCTGAGACACGGGGGCGCCTCGGAGGACCGAGCCAGCAACTCGCGCCCCATGCTAGAGGTGATGAAGCGAGGCGGCTGGAAGACCGACTCGAGCCTGGCCAGGTACGAGAAGCACGCGCGACTCGGCCTGGTGCTGCAGCGGTCCAAGGCGGCCGTAGTGGCGACGGCCCGGCGTCACGAGCAAGAGTTGACCAAGCTCTTTCTCGCAGCCTGGCAGCGGCCAGGTGCGACGCCAGAATCGGGCACTGCAAAGTCTTCCTCGACATCTTCGCGGGCACTGGTCCTGTCGGCAGGTTTCTGAGAGAGCGCGGTCACGGAGTCATCTTTTTTGAGAAGAAGCTGGGCCCCATCAGGCGGACGCAGGTCTCTGCTACGGTCATGGGGTGGCTCCGCGCGGGCAGAGTGCGGGGCTTTTGGGTGGCAGCGCCTTGCGTCACCACGACGCGAGCTCGCCAGAACGGTGCTGCAGGTATGCCGCCTCCTCTCCGATCTAACGAGCATCTTCGTGGGCTGCTGGGACTTGGCGAGCGCCTCAAATAACAAGTGCGTGATGCCAACACCCTCATCGACCGAGCCGGGCTGCTGAAGGCCGCCGAGGGCTTGGGAGTGCCATGCGGGGAGGAGAACCCAGCCACATCTTTGTTGTGGTTTTTTCCTGTGCGCCAGCGGCTGCTGGCTAAGTGGCCGCACCCCAATGTCGACTTCTGCTCCTGCGGCTTGCCTGTCCGCAAGCGCGCTCGTTTACTTTTTCTCAACGCTGGCAGTCCTGACGTCTCAGAATTTGTCTGCTCTGGTCGTCGTGGCATCTGCAAGTTCTCTGGAAAACCGCATCTTGTCATCAGTGGAAAGTTGCACGGAGCTTGGGTGTCCAAGCTAGCTGAGCCCTATCCTCCTCCCATAGCTGAGTTTATTGCACGATGTTTGGATACTTCAGCTCAACGATTGGCAGTGGCAAAGCTTTCTAGTCTATGCTGTGCCAGATCGCCTGTGGCTTTTGGGCCGTGAGATTGGTTTGAAGTCCGGCGCTTCGCGCCATGTGGTGATGTGTCTCGGCAAGCTGCCTCTTGAAAAACTGGCATCGTCTTCGTGGAAATGCGTGCATGCGAATGTATACACCGCGGCCACGGTTTCTCAAGCCATCCCTGACCGCCCTTTAACGCCAAGCCCGAGCCCAGCAAAGTTGTTTGTTCAGCATTAGTGGGTTGAAGTCTTGCGCTTCGCGCCATGTGGTGATGTGTCTCGGCAAGCTGCCTCTTGAAAAAGTGGCATCGTCTTCATGCATGTGTGTATGTATGTATATATGTATGTATGCATGTATGTATGTAATATATGGATGGCTTTATGTATGTATATTTGTATGTGCATAGGTATGTGTGTTTGTGCGTGTGTCTGTCTGTCTGTCGGTCTATCTGTCTGTCTGTATGGATGTATGTCGGTATGTATGCATGTATGCGTGAATGTGTTCATCTGTGCATGTGCGTATGTGAGTATATGTATGCATGCATGCATGTATGTATGGTTGCATACTATATATATATACAGAGAGAGAGAGAGAGAGAGAGAGAGAGAGAGAGAGAGAGAGAAAGAGAGAGAGAGAGAGAGACAGCGAGAAAGAGAGAGAGAGATAGCCCCCCCATGCCTGGGCCGGCCCAGCCCGCAACAGTTCTAATACGCTCGCTGATACCCCCCCGTTCCGCTCTCCAGAGGCGGCCCGGAGAGGCCAAGAGGGTGCCAAAACGAGTCAAGAGGGGTCCAGGAGGCCCCCAAGCCGGCGCAAGAAGGCCTCGAGTTGCCCGATACAGCCCAAAAAGGCCCCAAGACTCTCCAAGAAGGCTCCCAGATCACTCCCAAGAGGGCCCCAAGAAGCCAAAACCATTAAATTCCCATGGGGGAACTTAAATTTTTAGCACGTGCGCCTTTGCAGCTTTCACGGCTGTGAAGACGGTCCAAGAGGCTCCCAAGACTCCCCCAAGACGGCCCCAGAGGATCCCATGAGGCCCATCAGGCGGACCAAGAGGGCGCTTAGGCGGCTCAAGAGGCGCCCAAAACGGCCCAAGACGGCGCCCAAGACGGCACCCAAGACGGCCCAAGAAGGCCCAGAGTCGCCCAAGACGGTCCAAGATGGCCCTGAGACGGTCCTAGAAGGTTCCGAGACGCTCCAAGAGGCCTGCCAAATCACTCCCAAGAGGGCTCCAAGAGGCTAAAATCATTAAATTCCCATGGGGAAGCGTACATATTTAGCATGTGCGACGTTTCGGCGTTCACGGGCTTGAAGACGGCCCGAAAAGCTCCGAAGACTTGCCCAAGAGTGTGTAAAACAGTCCCAAGAGGCCTTCAAGACAGACCAAGAGGGGGCCAAGACGGCCCAAGGGCTGCAAAAGACGGCCCAAGTTAGTCGAAGAAGGCCCCGAGTCGCCCAAGACGGCCCAAGATGGCCCCGAGACGGTCGAAGAAGGCTCCGAGACGTCCCAAGAGGCCTGCAAGAGCACTCCCAAGAGGGCCCCAAGAGGCCAAATTCTTTAAATTCTTATAAGGGAATGTACACTTTCAGCATATACGTTTTTGCAGCCTCCACGGCTTTGAAGATGGTCCAAGAGACTCCCAATACTCCCCCAAGACGGCTCCGGAGGATCCCATGAGGCCCCCAAGGCGGCTGAAGAGGGCGCCTAGACGACCCAAGGCCCGACTAAGTTAGCTGCAAGAGGGGTCTAACTTTTCGTTCCAAGACGCCCAAGACGGCTTCAACACTGCCAAGGAAGCCCCCAAGACGCCCCAAGAGGATTCCCAAGAGAGCCTCAAGCGGCAAAAATGGCCCCGCTCCTTTCTCGGAAAACGTGAATTGTTAGAATGTTGGTCTCTGGAGCTTTCAGAGCATCCAAGACGGCCGCAAGGCCTCCAAGATCGCCTCAAGACGGCCCGAGGCTCCCTACAGGTCTCCAAGAGGGCTCAAGAGAACCCCAAGAAGGCCCAAAAGGCCCCCCAAGACAGCCAATGAATGCCCCAGGACGGCCCCAAGATGGGGCCCCCAAGAGGCCCCCAGGAGCCCCCTGCCCAGACGCCCTCAGGCACTCATGGCGATCCCGAAGCTTCCAGAGAGGAGAGGCGATGAACGGCCGTCCTGACGCGATCTTGGACCGTCATCGAGCTCAAGGTGCCCCCATCATGGCTCAACAAGTCCCAGAAACGCCCGAAGAGAGTCACCCTGGGGTTGCCAAGAGGCCCTCCAGAAGCAACTGCATGTTATATTTTCAAGGGAGCTCCAGGCCCCTGGGCGCCAGAGGGTATTAACCCGCTTGCGCAGAGCTGCCTCCGCCCTCCCTGTGGGCCCCCCGAGACGGCCCCAGGGCGTCCCGCGAGACTCTAGACTGCCCAGGACGCTTCCAGGACGCGCTTCGAGGGCCTCATGAGCGTTCCCAGACAGTTCAGGACGCCCCAAGAGGCCCCCTGAGACCCCAGACCCCGGGCCGGCACACTTTTCAAAACTTCCCCCCTCCCCCGTATCACTTTTGTTGCCCAGGTTGGGTCCCAACTCTTTTCGGGGCGCTTCGGGGTCCCGACGGACCAGGATTTCCCCGAGCTGCCCTGAAGACGGCTTCCAGAGGTTCCAGACGGCCCAAGAAGGTTCAAATAGCACCCCGACGAGTGCCCCGAGAGGCCAAATTTAGATAGTGTACTTCAGTACAGACTGCCCAAGAGGCTCTCAATAGCGCCCCTAGACGGTCCAAGAGGGCCCCAAGATGGACCAAGAAACCCCGAAGACGGCCCGAGAGGGCCCCAGGATGGAGGGGTAATACCAGCTGCTATTTGGAGCCCTCTGCCCAAAAATCGTGGGACAGGGGAGCATCGGCATAGCATCGGCATGATCCCGCCAGCTTTCTGTTACCATTTGTCCCCCTTTCCGCGTGCCGCCAGCTTTCTGTTACCATTTGTTCCTTCCCAGCGTGCCGCCAGCTTTCTGTTACCAGGACAGGTATGTGATACATTTTCTGCCACTGTGTTGCAGGACTTCTGAATACGCCAGAGCGGCGACAGCTTAAATTGCCACATTGCGCCGTCTTAGTGTCGCGGGGGTGGTGGCAACGCCACTTCTGCGAAGCCTCGCGCGGGTGGTGACAACGCCACTCTTGCGAGGCAAGTTTTCGCCCGGAACTCTTTGGCCCAAGTTTGGTGCGCTGTGTTGAAAAATGGTCCATCAGCGTACCGAGGAGAGCGAACAAGATCGCCTATCCGTTCGCCTCGCTATCTCGGTAAACACCCCACTGAGATTGAAACTCCGACTACCCTTACCCTCCCATTTGAAACGCTCATTGCCCATACCGCCCTCAGAGGTCCTTCGGCTTCTCAGGAGGGTGGCTGCGAGGCGATACATCTTGGACGAAACATGTACAGCAGCAGTAGAGGGAGAGAGGGAGGTGCCTTCGGCTTATCAGGAGTGTGGCTGCGAGGCGAGACATCTTGGACGAAACATGTGCAGCAGCAGTGGAGGAAGAGAGGGAGATGTCGGACACGTATCGCTGCAAAGAAAATGACCCCCGAGGCCGCCTATAGGTGCCCAGCAGGGCAGGCCGAAAGAGGCCCCTGGGAGGCCCACAAGAAAACACAAAGAGGCCCCCAAGAGACCCCAGGAGGACTCCGGGAAGCCTCCAGGAGACCCCAAAGAGGCCCCCAACCGGGTTCCAAGAGACTTCGAAAGAGACCCAGGCCCCAAGATGCCCCAACACGGTTGTTATGCGATCACAGCCTTCGTCCAATACATTTTTGCTTGCTTCAGTTGCAGCACTGTTCAATCATTCGATCTTGCTGCATGAGCCTTGCGCGACCGCAACGCACCATCTCCGTGCGAAGTAGTGTGCGTGCGCAGCCTTCGTCCTGCACGTGCTCCGCCAGCTGGCGTGTCAGCGCGTGTATTTAATTTCACGGCTGTGTTCCCTCCTTCGTCCGTCTTTCTTCGATATTCTTGCAAGTGCTCCGCCACCCGGCGTGACAGCGCGTGCATGATTTTTCAAGGCAGTTTGTTGGGCGTCCTTTGGCATTGCTATTTTTTTCTGCACGTGCTCGCCAGCTGGCGTGGCAGCGCGCACATTCTATTTCAGGGCAGTTGTCGTGACGTCCTTTGTCATTCTTTGTCCTTCCCGCACATTTTCGGCAAGACAAGCCAAGAACATGTGACGACATCCAGACCAGCAAACTACGGCCTCGATATTTCATCAGAAAGCCAGTCAATGTCCCAAGCCTGTGAAGCAAACTCCCCGACGAACCCGCAAGCCAAGACCTGCGCGCCGTGACAACGAAGGAGGCAACCCTGGCTGGACGGCGCCATCGAGCCCACAGACACCTGCCCCCCCCCCACCCCACAAGAGCGCCTGAACAACCCAAAAGCCAGTCCAAGAAGGCCCTGCGACATGCCATAACCGGCCCAAGACGGAGACAACCTTTCTCCGACTGCGAGTCGCCCAGAAACCCCGACCTCCGTTTCATCACAGCGCCATGGGTTGAACTAGAACCTAAGCGCGCGCGAAGCGCGCGCGTGGTTCTAGTATATGTATGTAGGTATGTATGCATGTATGTATGCATGCATGCATGCATGCATGTATGTATGTATGCATTATACATGCAGATATATACGTGTGTGTATGTATACATGTATGTATGTGTGTATGATTGTAGGTAGGTAGGTAGGTAGGTAGGTATGCATGCATGCACGCATGTATGTATGTATATATGTATGTATGGTTTCATGTATGTGTGTATGAATTTGTGTATGCATATATATATGTATATATATACATATGTACATATATATACGTATATGTGTACGTATGTATGTATGTATGGATGTATGTATGTATGTATGTATGTATGTATATATGTATGAAGTTATGTATGTATGGATGTATGTTTGTACGTACGTATGTACGTACGTACGCATGTATGTATGTATGTGAGCATATGTGTGTATGTATGTAGGTATGCATGCATGCATGTATGTGTGTGTGTGCGTGCGAATATGTGTGCATGGATCTAAGCGTTACTGGATGTACGGATGCACGCAAGCATGCATGCATGTATGTACGCATGTATAGATGTTTGTATGTTTTCATTTATACATGCATGTCTGTATGTCTGCCTGCCTGCCTGCCTGTCTGTCTATCTGTATGTATGAGTGTATGTATATATGCACCTGTCTGCAATCCAGTATATATTTACATCTGTACATACATATTCCATGGCGCCCTGCCAATCATGCAAGCGCCGTTGGGTTGCAGGTCAGAGGCCTTTTTGATGCCTGTTGGGGTCTTTTGGGGGGCGTCCCGGAAACGTCTTGGATGCAGGTTTGGGGTGTCTCGGGGCGTCTTCGGAGTGTCTTGGGGGGCATATTGGGGCCTCCTGGGGCTCCGTGGGGGCTCCTTGAGGGCCTGCTGGTGGAGAGCTCAACATGCCGATGTGTGCTCCCTCTCTTGGGCCCCTCGTGGGCCGCCTTGGGGGGCAGTCTTGGGCTGTCCTGGGCCGTATTGAGGGCCTCTGGCGCCGTCTTGGGGCGATCTTGGGGTCCTCTTGGGCCGTCTTGGAACATCGGGAGCCTGAGGAGGTGGAAACGCTATACTTGTCAAGCGCCTCATCAGTCAATCATTTGGGCGGCTTGGGTCCCTCTGCTTCTCTTGGGGCGCTTTGGGGCCTCTTGGACTTCTGAAGCGAGCTGAGGGACGTAATGAGTGGAAGCGAGCGTGCGCCCGCGGCCGCGTCGGCTCAAGCGGCCGGCCGCCCAAATTTGACTGTGCCTCACCGCGAGGCACGCAATCGCTATCGAGACCAACAACATCTTCCGATTGCTTGAGATGACATCTCCTCTCGTACTGGGACTATCGTTGCTACGGTACAACAGAGCGGGAGTTTGGCTTCGCCTGAGGCGAAGCTGTTGGCTGGGCCTTCCAGCCCCCTTCAAACTTGGTAGCGGAGCTGGCCTATTGTGGTCAGCTCTTGCTCTACTCCTCACCATCCACGGCATTATCTGGTGGACTACGGATATGGTGGAACATCAGGGTGCGATGGGGTTGCGCGGAGGAGTGTGTATAACTACGCAGTACCGCGAGGCAATTTGCAGCGATACCTTTGTCCAAGCGGAGGTCTCTTACTCACATCTTACATCCCCGCGCTATTACACGCCTGACGTCCACCCACCAACTCCAACTGGCAATTTCTTCGAAGACTTAATGCATGAAACCACGCGGTACGATATACTGCCGCCTCCGACCCCACGCAGACTTACGACGACAAAACATAGGTCCCCGCCGGCTACATCCGACTAAGACCTACGAGGCCACTGGATTGGGGTTGTTATTTGTTGGCTCATCTGGGCCGCTATTGGGCGTGCGGTGGGACATATGCGGGGCGGAGACGACACTAGACCGACTGGTCCCCGTTGGGACCCTGCCGGTCAAGTACAAGTTCGTGAGTTCGTCCGCGAAGCACATGCCGCGATCAATGTGACCACAGGCAGCATGACGCCCTCCCAGCAAGCCGCCGCATTGCAGCGAGGTTTGGGATGTCTCGCACGGACTACGGCCACGAGAGTCCCTCCAGCAGTCATTAATTTTGGCGTCAACATAGGCGGTCGCCACACCGACGGCGCCACCTACATTTCGTTCCTCTTAAATGCGAAGTTCGAGAACCTAGAAGAGGAACGCCAAATCAACTCTGGCACGGCTCTCATTGACTCTCGAGTGCATGCGGGTGAACGTACCGACCAGACGGTAGCACGGTTCGAAATAGCCCGCTACGAAGCTGAAGCCGCCGGCATCAACATCCCCAACTTCCAAATATTTGCAATACTTATATTCAGAGTTCTTGGAGTGGGGACATCGCGCGCGCAACAATTCCTGCAGCCTCTGAACCACCACGTGCCGAGGGACCAACCACAATTTGACGCTCGACTTGAACGCATGAGGTCATATGCTCACATAGCTGAGAGGACCCCTGGCAATATTGGTGGAATCTGTAGCCACGGTCACCGAACCGAGACCTTCCACGCAGAGGCCAACGCAGGGCAACCTGCCAACCACGTCTGGAACGATGATACACAGCCAACTGAGACCACTACGCTGTTGGCTCAGAATGGTGGAACGGCTTCGGGGTCGCAAGGCCCTTGGGCCAGATCAGGGGGACCGCCTGACGCGGCTTCCCCTATGCAAGCAATGGCCCATCATGGGCTCAGCGGGGCAACCCGCCGAGTCCGACTTCGACTCCGGTACCGATGCGGATGCGTCTTCCGATGATGAAGTTGTCGCCTTGGATTACTCTGATATGCCTGCGTACCTGTACTGGAGAGCAGCAAGCCCAATGGTTGTTTCTGGGCAATCAAAAACACAAGCGTCGTTGGCGGATATTCATGAAGAAACCAGTCCGAAGGGTAAGACGCATTGCGCGACGGTCACTTAAAGGAAGGCAAGGGCCGAAGCAAAGGCAAAGGTCAGCGTCGGCGGGTACATGGTAGAGGCATACTGGCACTCCTAGCGTCTTTCACCGGACCTCAGCATGAGGAAATGCGTTTAGGTACTGGCAGAAACCGCAGGCATGCATCAGGTAAAAGTACAGGGCGGCGAGGACATCCGAAGGATACCAACGGTACAACCATGGAGTGCGACATATGTCACAGCACGCATTTCCGACGCGAATGCCCCCGAGGTGATGCAGGAGGCAGGGGGGCGTCAATGCATTTGGCCCAAACGGACTCCGACATGCAGCGTGTTGATTGGGGGTCGCTCTTAGCCGACCCTGCTGACGGCTCAGCCACAATTGTTCATTGCGTGGCTGCCGGGTATATAAGTGCCAGCTTGGCCCTCGAGAATTACGCCGACGAGCTGTTCGACGAGGCGCGCGCTGGCCACGACGATATCGACGCTGCAGAATGGCTGGGTGCACCCATCGCGGGGCAACCTGCAGATATTGAGTTGGTCGAGAACTTCCACCTGCCCGTCGAAGGTGATTTTGGCATGGCGAGGGCGCCCGCGGACTCAGATTCTACCCTTCCTGCAACAGATGAGGAAATACATGTTTTGCTTTATCCTCGGGTGATTGGAAGTCCGACAAACGCGGAATTAATCGATGGTGGTCTTTTGCGGGGAAGCCCGCGCGACGATGGTGATCTATCTGAACGTATGCAATATGAGCTTGGGCAGAATGAAGAATGTCAGTGTACTTCTGTTGCGTCAGAACGGTCCGCCAGCAGCCCGGAAGAGCGGCAAGCCGCCCACTCTTGATGAGGAAGAGATAACATGACGATCCAAGTCTCCTCCCAATGGACGACGGGGACGACAGGGAAGACGATGGCCGCGTGATGCGTCGCGGTCGGGCCCCCGGTCGCTTGCCAGATCGTACGCGAGCCCGCTCTAGCGGCGCTTCGTCGAGCAGTGGTCAGCACCCTCACCCTCCTGATGCGGGGGCCACAAGGGGCCCGCCGTGGCAGGCGACAAGAGCACATACTCCGCCAAGGGAGGGCCGTCTGCGGGGGAACCCGCCT